TGGAGTCTGGACTGAGGTTGACTCCAGGGGAGGGCTCACCCCTGGCACCTTGAGGCAGATGTTTGGAACTGGCTACCAAACAACTACCACAGCCCTTTGAGTGTACATTTTCAGTCTGGTTCTTCCTGAGCTACCCACCTCTCCCTGAAAAGGTCCAGGTGTCCTCCATAGCCTTTAAGTGATCCAGGGCCACTGTCCTTCACTCTGCCCCTCTCACTGCCCTCCTGCCCCTGACATGACCTCTCTCCTAGACAAGCAACCCAAATGCCCGCTGCACATTCACCTGAAACCGCCTTCTCACCCTAATGCCGCAAATCCTGGCAATTCTAAAATGCTCTGGGCTCTACCCCTCCAGCCCTGCTCATCCCACTGCTATCCCTGGCCACTCAATATCTCTCCCCTGGTACAGGTGTGACCTCTGTTTATTTTCTCTGTTTCCCTTCCCACCCATCCACCATGTTTCCTGGTGTGCAAGCAAGTCTGGTCTCTGGGATGGAATTCTACTGAAGTTATCTGGGTTGTTTTGCCTTTGGAGGAAGTGCAGGTTTTAGTACGGCAAGAAAATATGTAACTAGTGGGCTCCAGTTCATGCAACAGAGCCTGGGCTGGCATCCCTAGGGCCTGTATAGTACTTACATCTTCCCAGTCTTCCAGTGAAGAGAGGAAAGACAGTAGGTATCAGTCCATTCTAGAAACTTTGTCCAGTGCCCTGTGTGATCCATGAAGGTAAGTAACATTTGGATATGCCTTCAGAGAGATTTTTGGAATCTGGGTAAAAGTTTAGGCAAAATGAAAACAAAACTTAACTTGGAGGATGGGATAGAAATTGGATCCACTTTCTGTTTTTAAAGAAATGTAGTCAAATCTACCTAGAGTTTTAGTGTGTGTGTGTGTGTGTGTGTGTGTGTGTGTGTGTGTGTGTGTGTTGCACACACAATGGTGTACATGTGGAGGTCAGAGAACTATGTGAGGAGCTGTTTCTCTCCATTTATTTTGCAGGACCCTGGTATGGAACTCAGCTCTTCAAGGTCAGCAGAAAGTACTACCCACTCAAACATCTCCAGGCGCACACCTAGAGTTCTGTCTGCATGCTGGTTGAACCCGGACACTTTCTATTTTATTTATCGGTTGTTGTTGTTCTTCTTCTTTTGAGATTGGTCTCACTGTTTGTTCTGGCTGTTCTGGAACTCACTCCGTAGTGCAGGCTGGTCTCAAACTCACAGAATTCTGCCTTTGTTTGCCACACACCTATCTGATCCAGGACACTTTCAAGAGTCTATCCTAACTAAATAACCATTATAACATGTGTAATAATAGGGTTAGAGGAATGGCTGCTCTTACAATGACTCTAGGTTAAGTTTCCTAGGGGTTCCCATATGGTAATTCACAATCTTCAACGCCTTCTCTAACTCACAACCTTCAATGCCTTCTCTAACTCACAGCCTTAATACCTTCTATGACCTCTGGACAGTGTATGTACGTGGTGCCCATACACATGAAACACTTGTACACATAAAGTAAGAATCAATCAATCTTTTAAAATAGATTGATAGTAATAAAGAGGAAGAAATTAAATGCTAATAAAGAAAAATGCGTGCATGGTGGTGTATAATGCATATTATACATTATTATGCAGCTAATCCAGTGATATTTGTATGAGCTAAAAAATAATATGTAGGCAAAATCATATTAAATATAATAAGGTAACAAAAATATATTCACAGAGTAAAAATTGCCATGTTGTATCCCATAATGGAAAATGAAAAAGTTCAAAAAGTAACTTTTATAATGAAAGTCTATTTCCCTCTCTAGGAGTAAGGTAGATATGAACACTCGTGATCACTGTTCAGTTATAGTACTACTTGTTCTTGCTAGAGCAACTGGTGCTTAATGATAACATGATCCTATGACCCCAGAGTCTACTCAAAACTGTTAGGATGGATGGATAGTTAGATAGATAGATACATAGATAGATTCATAAAGTAAAGCTAGAGGGCACAAAAAAGCATGTTTCTATACACTAGCAATGAACTGTCCAAAAGAAACGTCAATAAAACAGGCCCTTTCTAATAGCTACAGAAAATAAAATACTTATGAACAGGTGACACTGAGCAACAGAGGCCCCGAGAACACACACTAGGAAAATGACAGTCTGCTCCATTACAAGTTGGGGAAACTGTATATACACATGCAGAAGGATGGACTGCACTCTTATCTCACAGCTAATATAAGAATGAACTCAAAATGGGACAAAAACTTACATGTAAAACCTGAAACTATGAAACTACTAGTAGACAACAAGGAGAAGTCTGTGCCATTGAGCTTGGTGACACACAAATGCTCATGCAGCAGAAACAAGACCATGAGATTATCTCAAACTCACAGCTTCTGCATAGTAAAGAAAGCAATTAGTTGACTGAAGAGGCCAATCTGGGCTAAAGACCTATGGGCTGCAAGAAAATATTGGTAAGCAAGGCCTACATCTGACAAGGGCCCCACCAAAATTCACAGGGAATTCAACTCAATAAAAAAGCAAATAAGTGGATTTAAAACAGAACAAAAACATGCCTCTGCCTGCCATTTTTCTCTTTCAAAAGAAGCTGTGTAAGTGCCACTAAAAACTGGGAAAGTGTGTGTCAGTTAGGTGTGAAGAAGGCGTAAATCCTCTGCATTGCTGCTGAGGGTGTAAAGCCATATAGTTATTCCAGAGAAGCATGAGGCTCTTCAAACAGCAAGTACAGTTATCCTGCCATGGTATTTCAGGGCTTATATTTAAATGTTTTTAATTCAGTCTGCATTTTGAACAGATGTCTGCATTTCCACATTCACCACGGTACTGTTCACAACAGCTAAGTTACAGTATGAAGGGGATGCAGTGTGTTTTTAATAAGACAGTAAGCAGCCCTTTACAAAAGGAATGTCTGCTGTTTGTGATGACATGAACAAACCTGAGACGTTATTCTAAATCTAATAAGCTAGACACTGGACAGGTATCTAATGCTAATGATTCTCAATCTTCCTCATAGACCCAAATTCTGACCCAAGTCTAATTCCCTATTTTGAATTGCCAGAAAGAGATCTCCATGACATATAAAAACCAATTCATTTCTCCTTCTCTTCATCTCTCCTACCCCACCCCTTCCTCCACCCTCTCTCCTCTCCTCTCTACCTCCTGCCTCTTGTTTTGCTTTGGGGAAGGGTTTCATGTAGCCCAGACTGGCCTCATAAGTTTGAACTTATATATTTGAGGATGGCCTGCCTTGTCCTCTCAAGGGTTGAGGTCACAGTGTGCTCTTAGACACAATTTCTTAAATGGACTGCACATCTTAAATTCTGCACATCTCACCTGCTGGCAGAGCCTAAAACAACTGAAGTCACAGAAGCTGAGCAGGACAATTACTCAAGCCTGGGGGTTGGGAGCTGGGTAAAGGGCAGACAGCTTCCTGCCGAAATACTGCTCAGCAAAGTGACTGTAATTATTCTGTGCTGTAGATTTCAGAGCTGTCAGCATTAGTTTCAGGTCTCCTCGCCCACATAAAATCCTAAGAGGACTGGAGAGATGGCTCAGTGGTTAAGAGCTGCTCTTCCAGAGGATCCAAGTTCAATTCCAGCACCCATAAGGCAACTCACAACTGTCTGGAACTCCAATCCCAGGGGGTCCAATGTCTTCTTCTCACCTCTGTGGCACTAGACACAGACAAGTGTGCAGACAAAATACCCATACACAGAAAATAAATAAATAAAATTTATAAAAAAGACACCCTAAGTACCCAAGATGACAGATATGTTAACTAGTCTGATTTAATTATTCCATGTTTATGCCTATATAATACTCTGTACCCTGTTAATAATCAGTTTATAATACTTTAATTTTTAAAAATTAACAAAATTTTTAATTAAAATTAATTTTCTAAAACAGTTTCTGTGACTTCTCTAAACAGGTTGCCACCCCAATTGTGTCTTGAAAAAAGTCTGTGAAGTTTTTGGTGGCATCAAGATTGGTTAGTTTTAATTCCTACAAGCACATTTGGGCCAAGCAATCCCTGCGTTTTAAGGCTACATCACTGCACAATTCCATTTTCCCAAGCAAATCCTGATGCTCCGGACACAGTGGTCCTCCTCCATACTCCAGGCTTACTGTGAGCAATGGATGTCTGAGTACCGGGTTGTGTGACATTGTAAAACTAGCATGGTGAGCACATCTGAGCTGTGAAGCTGGTGTGTGGAGCACTCAGACCTCAGGAAGGAGCACAGGGGAACAAGACAGGGACCTACTTGGTGCTGACTTTCTCTGTGGATTTACATCCAGCTTGATTTACTCAGAAGCTCAGGTTGGACAGGAAATTAATGCTGATGACCAAAAAAGAACATGGCTTCATTCATCTCCTCATCAGTAAAGAGGGAGGGCTGGGCCTGCTTGTCTCCAGGGCCTAATTCACTGACCAATGCAGGTCGGGTCAGTGTGATAGATGCACACCAAGCCAATGTGGCCTTGGAGACAGGCGAGGCCTCCAGCTGCCTAAGCTCCATCTGCTAGGTGGCTACGGCTAGGATAGCACGTATGTATCATCCTAGCCTCTCACAGGCAATCTACTGAAGCTTCTAGCTGCATGCCCGAAGAAATCATTTTTTTTAAAAAACAAACTGAAAAGAAATAATTTGTTACAAAAATCATTCCCCCAGATCAAAACTTTCATCAATACCTTGAGAATTTGTTCAGACATCAGTCATCCTTGGTTTTCAGAAGATGTACAATATTTTCTTTTCCAGAGTCTTTTTTACTCTGAGATAACTAATAACAAATTTAAGAATATATGCAAATACTGTCAAGTGTAGCTCCATTACCAAGAAAAATCCCTTCATAGTTTCCTGAAAGGGAAAGAACAGGAGGGGGAGGGGGAGAGGCATCTGCACAGATGTGGCCACGCTGCTTCCTGAGCCTGGACCGTGCACAACCTACTTCTCATCCTTTCCCCAAGACCTTTGCCTCCATTACTCACCTGCCTTTCCTGGATGGCTCATGAATTTCTCTTCCTGGCCAGTGCACTGTGCTCTCAGCGGCCAGAATCCATCCCCACCACAAAAGGAAGATGCCAAATTTCATATTCTGGGCAGCCAACATAGATTTCCAAGTCAAACAGTTCTCCCAAGAAGCCGTGAGAAGGAGCCAGTGAGGAGCCGCTGTCAGTCCTCCCCTAAGGCATCATTGCTGTGTTTGTTATTAGAGGGATGTTTACCCCTGCAAAAATGAAGCTGCAGTCTGTAATCTGGCCAGCGGGAGAAAGCAATTTCCACTAACCCCACAAATCCTCCTGCGTCAGATGTCAGGGATTTTCTGAACTGAGGTTGAATTCCCATATCCTGTGGGACTGTTCCTGGGGCTGGTCTAAATTAGTTCATCATCAAATGTTGTGAGCGTGCTGGTGAGGGTCTGGATTTTCAGGGCGGCTGAATAGAAAGAAGAAAGTAAATGTGAAAAGACAGGGGCACTGTCTGCTTACCGTGACCCTGCCCCGATCTATCTGAAGCTTCTAGGTGCTTCTAGCTCACTCGTGACTTCTGTTACTTCAGGGGCAGCTATGGTTGGCTGAGGCTAAGAGCGCAATGGGGGCAAGGCTCCGTCATGGTGTGCAATGTTCCTGTCCTCAGCCTCACTGGGCTTTTACATTCAGAAACATCTGGAAATAAATGAAATGCCATCAAGTGTTATCCTTTGATGCTTGCTCAGAGTTCTTGGCCCAGGCTTCTGTCTCCATCACAGGACAGAGTCAGTCAGAGTCACATGGAAAAGGGCTACATCCAGGACTCCAATTTATTGACTCTGTCAAGCTGAGCTAACACAGCTGAGAACTCTCAGACTGTACTGGCAAACAGCGTCAGGATTCCCAGAACTCCAAGACTGAAAAGGCTACCTGATACTCAGGCAACCTGGGCTGGCCTTGGACTCCCCATGTAGTCAAAGCTGTTTCTGATCTTAAGATCCTCCTGTCTCCAGAGGGATAGAATCTTTAAGAGGCCAGGTGATGCGGTGCACAGCTAAAATTTCGGTATTTGGAGAGTCTCAGGCAGAAAGATTATACGTTTGAGGCCAGCCTAGGCTGCATGACAAGATTTCATTGATTAAATGAAAAGGAGGAGTAACTAGAGGAGAAGAAAGATGAGAAGAAGGCAGAGGAGGAGGCAGAAACTGCTATAAGATAATTAGATTACAGGGAGGATGGCCCACTTTGATCAGATTAATGTAGCTCTCAAAAAAACCTTGTTCATTTCTAAGTATAAACTCTCACTTAAAAAGCAAAGGTATTGCCAAGTCCAACCCTCTACCCCTAGATCCTGCACATCTTTCTCCAGAGTCTCCCACTGAGTCTGTTTGACCCTCCCCTGCTATACCCTCCCACTCTGCCAAATCTAGCCAGTCCCATATCCAGTGCCCTGGCCCAGACACAGCCATCAGGAACCATCCTGCCAGTCCCCAAATCCACAGGACCCTCCCATACCAAATCCACTCCCACACTCCAGGCCTGGCCCTCCATCCACCTGACTTCATTCCACCTAAGCCATTTCCAACCTTTAGGCCCAGTCCAACCACATATCCCTTCTTTTGCCCCTACCTGCTCTCTCCATGTCAGACTTAGAACAAAAGAAATCTACGTACCCAGATCTCATTGCACAAATACAAACAATTTGAATGATCAATACAATACTTTCTCTCCCAAACCTGTAGAAATGTTTGACAGTGAGAACTACCCAGAGGAATGCCAGCACACAGAATTTAAAAAGGATAGTAATAAGCTTCATCAAATAATTCAAGCAGTTTAAAGAATATATAAGGAAGAGCTTAATAATATTAAGGAAAAAAAAACTTAAGGAGAATAAATGCCTGAGTAATTCCCAAGAAAACACAAACATAAAGCTGATAGGATAGGAATGGTGAGGACACTCCAGGACTTGGGAATGGAATTCAATAAGGAGAAAGAAATGCTGAAGAGGACTCAAGCTGAAATAAAGATGGAATTGGAAAACTTAGTGACCCAAATGGAAAACTCAAAATAAAGCCTTAGAAATGGAATGGATCAAGCAGAAGACAGAATACCAGGACCCAAAGATAAAGTAGAGGGTTTAGACCATGTAAGCAAGGATTATGAAAAACATTTACAAAGGAAAGAATCATACAGGAAATGTGGAGCACCATGAAAAGTCCAAACCTGGAATTACAGGCATAGATGAGGGAGAAGAATTCCAAGCCAATGATATAGACCAGATCTTCAACATGATCATACAAGAAAACTTCCCCAAACTAAGGATAGACAAACCCATATGAATACAAGAAGCACACAGAATTCCAACTAGATAAGACCAGAAAAGAAAATTCCCACAGCATCTCATAGTCAAAATGTTACGAGTATGTTTCCCCCCCAGCTTGGTCCCTCAGCAGCTCCAACCCCAAATAACACACAGAGATGCTGTATTGGATATAAAGTTGTTGGCCTGTTACTGGCATTTCTTATTGGCTAGCTCTGTCTTAAGTATTAACCTATTTCTATTAATCTAAGTAATTCCCCGTGGTCTTATCTTACTGGAGAGAGGTCCAGATTTCTGCCCTCTTGGTCCCACATGTTGACTCTCCTCTTACCTATCCCTCAGTCTTCCTTGTCTCCTAGTCCCACCTATCTTGCTTTCCTATTGACCAACAAGGCTTTATTCATTAACCAATAAGAGAAACATATTGACAGAATGACATCTTCCATCATCAAAACACTAAGTCTATACAACAAAGAAAGTATATTGAGAGCTTCAAAGGAAGAAATACAAGTCATATATAAAGGGAAACCCATCAGAATAACAACTCAATAAAAACTTTGAAAGCCAGAATCTGAGCCTGGGACAATGCATTCAAAGTCCTAAAAATTCATGATGGCTAGTCGAGACTAACATATCCCACAAAACTATCTACCATAGTTCAATAAGAAATAAAAAAACTTTTCATGATATAAAGAGCCTTAAAAATTACATCCAAAAACCAAACACAGAGAAAAAAACAGAAAACAATATTTTGGGGTGAAGGGAAGAATAAGCACAGCCAAGAGACCATGAAAAGATATACAAGCCATGATTATTAAAATATAAAATATCACTACAAACACAAACACAGACAACAACACCAAAACCAAAAACACGGTGACCATGATGTGACACACACATTTCAGTGATAACTTTAAATATCAATGATCTTAATTCTTTAATCAAAAGACATAGGCTGACAACATGGATCAAAAAACAACATCTGTCTGTTGTACACAAGAAACACACCTTAGCTTTCAAGATAGAAACTGCCTTAAAGGATGGGCAAACATGCTCCAATCAAATGAGATCAGGAAACAAGCAGTCATTGTTATCCTAATATCTGACAAAATACACTTCACATTAAAACTAGTTAAAATAAAGAGAACATTCTTTTCATTCTCATCAAGGGAACAGTTAACCAAGAAGACATTACTATCCTAAACATATATACACCAAAACTCTGACACCCAATTCCATGAAAAAATGTACTACTGGATTTAAAGACATAGATTAAATGGAGTCCATTAGTAGTAGATTATTTCAATAGCCCACTTTTTCCAGCAGGTTATCAGGACAAAACAAAACAAACAAAAACAAACAAAACAAAAAAAAAACCCAGAAACATTAGAATTAAATCATATCATATCATACATCAAATGGACTTAACAGATACATAATATTCCATCCAAACACCAAAGAATACACATTCTACTAGGTAACACATGAAAGCATCTCTAAAATAGACCACATCCAGGGACACAAAACAAATTTTACACATTCAAAATATTTAAATAACTTTATGTTTCCTATCTGACCACAGTGCAATAAATCTTAAAATAACAGCAAACAAATCTCTAGTAACTAACACCCACATTGAGGGGTTTGAGTCAGTCCTATGCTGGTTTTCTAACTATCAGACTTGGGTGCATGAGCTCCCCCTTGTTCAGGTCAGCTGATTCTATGGGTTTCTCCAGCCTGATCTTGACCCCTTTGCTCATCACTCCTCCCTCTCTGTAATTGAATTCCAGGAGTTCAGCTAGTGTTTAGCTTGGGTGTCTGCTTCTGCTTCCATCAGCTGCTATATGAAGGCTCTAGGATGGCATATAAGGTAGTCGTCAATCTCATTATTGTGGACGGGCATTAAAGGTAGCCTCTGCTATTGCTTAGATTGATAGTTAAGTTCATCCTTATAGATCTCTGAGCATTTCCCTAGTGCCAGATTTCTCCTTAAATCTACAATGGCTCCCTCTATTACGGTATCTCTTTTCTTGTTCTCTTCTTTCCCTGTCTCAATCTTTCCGTTCCTTCATACCCTCTTCTCCCCTCCTCTTCTTCCTTTCTCTTTCTCCTAACTCCATCTCCCCTCCCTCTATGCTCACAATTTGCTCGGGAGATCTTGTCCCTTTCCCCTTCTCCGGGGGACCATGTATGTCTCTCTGAGGGTTCTCCTTGTTTCCTAGCTTTTCTGGTGGTGTGAATGGTAGGCTGGTGATCCTTTGCTGTATGTCTAAAATCTATATATGAATGAGTACATACCATGTTTGTCTTTTTGTGACTGGGTTACCTCACTCAGGACAGTTTCTTCTAGTTCTATCCATTTGCCTGCGAATTTCATGATTTCATTGTTTTTTTTCCTCTGAGTAGTAATCCACTGTGTAAATGTACCACATTTTCTCCATCCATTCTTCAGTTGAGGGACATCTAGGTTGCTTCCAGGTTCTGGCAATTACAAATAATGCTTCTATGAACATAGTTGAACAGATGTCCTTGTTGTATGAATATGTGCATCTTTGACCCACCTAAGAGTGGAATTACTGAATCTTGAGGTAGACTAATTCCCATTTTCCTGAGGAACCACCATATACTGATTTCCAAAGTGGCTGTATAAGTTTGCTCCCCCATCAGCAGTGGAGGAGTGTTCCCCTTTCTTCTCTCCAACACAAACTATCTTTGGCATTTTTGATTTTAGTCATTCTGACAGGAGTAAGATGGTATTTCAAAGTTGTTTTGATTTGCATTTTCCTGATGGCTAAGGATGTTGAGCACTTCCTTAAGTAGCTTTTAGCCATTTTAGATTCCTCCATTGAGAATTCTCTATTTAGTTCTGTACCCCATTTTTTAATTGGATTATTTGGTGTTTTGGTAACTAGCTTCTTGAGTTCTTTCTATATTTTGGAGATCAGCCCTCTGTCAAATGTGGGGTTGGTGGATATCTTTTCCCATTGTGTGGGCTGCTGTTTTGTCTTATTGACTGTGTCCTTTGCCTTACAGAAACTTCTCAGTTTCAGCAGGTTCCATTTATTCATTGTCGATTTCAGTGT